TCTTTTTCGGCTCGTTCTGTGGCGATGCGTTCCATTTCTATCCTTTCTTTTTCTTTAACAAGGCTTTCCCTCTCCAGCCTCTCTTTTTCGGCTCGTTCTGTGGCGATGCGTTCCCTTTCTATCCTTTCTTTTTCTTTAACAAGACTTTCCCTCTCCAGTCTCTCTTTTTCTGCTTTTTCTCTAGCGATGCGTTCCCTTTCCAGTCTCTCTTTTTCTTTAACGAGGCTTTCCCTCTCGAGCCTCTCTTTTTCAGCGCTTTCCTTAGCGATGCGTTCCCTTTCCAGCCTTTCTTTTTCCGCTTTCTCTTTAGCGATCTTCTCCTTCTCAAGTCTCTCCTTCTCTAACTGTTCCTTCTCTCTGGCTATTCTTTCTCTCTCTTTTGCGATTCGCTCCCTCTCCATCCTCTCCTTTTCAGCCCTCTCTCTTTCCACTCTAACTTTCTCCTGTTGTTCCCTCTCCGCTTTTTCCTTCTCCATCCTCTCTCGTTCCCTAGCTAGGCGCTCTTTCTCCATATTTTCCATCTCTGCCCTCTCTTGATTTAGTCGTTCCCTCTCTTCTTTGGCCAATCTCTCAATTTTTTGCTTCTCTTTTTCCATCCTCTCCTTCACCTCCATTAGGTGCTTCTGTGCTTCCTCCAGCGTCTTCGTCTTCAGCGCCCAGGCCTTCTCATGTTCCTCTTCTTCCTCAGCAAGGAAGGCCTTGATCTCAGCCATTGCCATCCGGGCGATCCTTTTGGCCTCGATCTTCTCGTGGATCATCCTTAGCTCTTCCTTCAGAGCAGAGCGTAGCATGGCTCCTCTGATGGGCCGGGCTATTGGATTTAACCGCAGTTTGAAAACCACTCACAAACACGCCTTTTATCGGCTTGTTAGCGGGATCACACAAAGCAACTTAGGAAGTGTTATAGAAAATAGGGGCGGCACAATGATTCGAAATGTTATCAAAACCGAAATTTAGACTATAGTGCAAAATCCAAATTTGCAGTAAGCACAATTTGGTAAAGGCCAAGTATGTGAAGATAACTGAATGAGGTATAGAGTGGCGATACTGCCCATCTACTTCCGGTCCATGGGACCTTATTTCGGAAAAATTATGTATTGAAGTCAATGGAGAGAGAAAACGTGTCTTTCGATCCCGTTTGAATTGTGCCATGAATTACATATGATGTTTGTCAATCTTAAAAAATAATTTCCATGTCAAAAAAGTCACAGTTTGTCGTAAAACTGTTGAAATATAAGACTATGAAAAATACGCAACTAGAAAGACTACAAATCCCAGAGTGAGAGAGTAAGTGATGTCACAATTGTTTTCCTCCACTAAATAGAGATAGCCAAGATAAGATAACTTTAACAAGATGCCTGTGTGCTTAGTACCAGGTTGTTATCATACCAGCAATGGGTCTTGCTCGTTCTTTCGCTTCCCGTCTGATGAAAGGACCAGGAGTGGCTGGATCAAGTTAGCTACCTAGCTAGTAGCAAGCACGTTAGTTAGCATTACAGCCTTAGCCTTGTCATTTTTATTAGCCTTAACATGAAGTAACATTAAGAAACCCAAAATGTTAAACAGTAAGAGTAGTATATAGTCATATTTCGTGAACCCTTTGAAGAGTACTGTCACACCGGTGTAATCATTCTATAATACACCATTTAAGCCCGGGGGAGAAATGCTAACGCTAACGCTACATTAGCATCGGCGATCTTTTCTACTTCATGCTATCTGCACAAATAGTTGACATTAAACATTAAAAAGATCAGCAGTTCAGAGAGAATCGAAGGAAGGCTGGCAGGCAGCTTTGCATGACATTCTTCTGGACGTGTTTCATTGTGGTGATAGTGAGGGTAGACATGTCCTTTTTTGGCAAGACAGTAGTGGCGGCCATCTTGGTGACGTGTGTTGTTGTGCGGGACCAGAGATGTAGTTCATTGAGCATTTCACACAAAAAATGTGTTACTTCACAGTTTTACGACACATTTTAATTTTTTTGACTTGCAAAATTATCTTTTAAATTGACAAACATCATATGTGTAATTCGTGGCACAATTCAAACGGGATCGAAAGATAATCTTTCTCTCGCCATTGGCTTCAATACATAATTTTTCCGAAATAAGGTCTCATGGAGGTCCACCGGAAGGGGAGGGACTTCACCACTCTATTGTGGAGCTGCACCGGCCTACAAACTTCATTTGGCAAATGCAATATCAGTCAAAATAACGCGATTAGTTATTTTCCAAATCATGCAGAACTATCAAGGAAAGGATTTGAAATAATCACACAGTACATGCAGGTACTGTACTGTTAAAGTCCACTTAAAAGCAAAGTCTATTAGTGTACAAGAAACTTTGTGTGCATCATATATATCAGATGGATATCCCTATTTTTGTATGCAGCTACATAAAAGCCAAAACAAATCCATATACTTTAGGTCATTACATTTATGCTAAAATGATATTAAGTCGATATATTTTATTGAGTTATCGCCCACCTCAAGTTCTTAGTGTTTGATCAAATGTAATTTTTGTGGGTCTGCAAGGCTGTTATTCCAAAAAAAGGTCACACACAAACAACATCCTTTTGGTCAATCAGTTGTTAAATCAAAGCCGTGCTTGAAAATATCAAACGTGCAGATTTTCGTACCTCTGGTTGTGTTTTCTCGAGCATCTTTCTTCTCTGCTTCAGCTAGATACCAAAATATCCAATTATTTTTAAAAAAAAATGACAAAAAGGAAATTGTTGTCTGCTTTTAACCGTTAATAAATAAGTGAAACTAAAACCAACAGATTAAACTAAATCACAAAAAATAATTCAGAGGGATAGATCTACCTTTTGGGAGTTTAATCTCTGGATCAGTGTCTTCTAAAGTCTTCTCTTCTAGAACAATACACACACAATGTTTGCTACCAAAGCTAAAAACAATATCAAAATCATCACACCAGGCAAAGTTGACCAAAACTAGGGTTGCAAAATTCATTAAATATTCAAGATATTTTCGACTGCTTTGAAACCTACAACACACTCCACGGCAAAACAGATTCAACCATAAAAACTGAAGCATTGTCTGCTGGTAAAGTTACGTTTTTGTACATTCAATTTATATATTATTTATGAGTCAATGTTATGTCATACTAAGTAAGAATAGTGTGTAAGTATACCATTTCAAACACAGCCAATACCTAAGAAATGCAAAAACACATAACATTTTGCTAAATATTTTATGTATACCAGCAATGTTGACTTCAACAGAGATATGAGAAGGATAGATATTCTTAGAAGTATAACTGCAAATGCCTAATTAAAGCCATCTGAACACATCACCAGATAAGGTCAATTAAATAATAAATTACACTGTATATTGCCTGAGGTATCACAGTTAATATTTATTTGGTTATTGGCTTCAATAACACAGCTGAAGATTATAAATCATCTTTAAGTTTTCGGTTTTATTGGCATACAGCAATAAAACAAAAATGTTAATAAAGAAAACACAATTTCAAGTCCAATAATTTACCTGAACAACAACACGACAAATGCAAATAAAGCAGGAGTGGACACGTGTTTGTTTGCATGTAGCTTGTGTTATTTTAAGTTTTTTAATTGACGCCTATTGATTGTCTCCTTTAAAGCCTGCAGTGACATGCACACTTCTCAGATTTAGTAAAGGTGGGTAACTAGTTATTTGGGATCAAGCTGTCATGCATTTACGGAACAAAGTGGACAGTACCTTTACTTTTACCCCTCTTCCTCCCCTCTTTCCTGTCCTCTACAACATGTACAAGCACACAGATCAGTCAACTGTTGGCAGAATACTAGTTTGGGAAACTCACAAAAACACACTTTTCGTACGATACCTTTCCTGGGAGAAGGAACTTTTAACTTCTTTTCATCTGCACAGGACAAACAGCAGAGGAAGTTAATGTAAACTAGTATGTCGGTATATTATAGTGTGCTGCCTCGTAAAATCAACTCCATTCAAGAAGAATCAACCCCCACCTGCCCAAAAAGCTATTTAAACAAACATTTTTATTCTGTTTTATTGCAGATTTCACTAGCTTCGTTTACACTTACATTTCTGTCAATATATGGCTTAACGAAGAGTTTAATCTGGTACTGTTTCCTGTTTATTCCTGACCAACACAACTTAGCTTAATGGGAAAATCAGTGTATTCAGGTTTGAACCATTTTACAGCAACACAAATTGTCAGAAAAAGCAGAGGTGAGAGTAATCACATTATTGTGAATATAAAAATGGTGTTAAGGAAATCAGAAAGTGCCAACAATTCAAGCATATTAGTGCAAACAGACTTATCACAGAAAACATTTTTTAAAACAAACAGTCATTGCCAAGTTACGGTCCTAGATGATATTTGGAGGAATGTTGTTTTTTACTTTTTTCTGGCCCCTGACTTCCACGGCAGATATTTTGTGTAATAAATAAATAATAAAATAAAGCTAGGATAGAAATTAAATACATTTTTACATTCTTGAATGTCAAATTTAAAAATACCGCACATGTCCTCAACACAGCCTGCCTGCAACTGTACCAAGACCTGAATATAACGAAACTAATACAACATATAAAACTAAATAATTAATGAAAGAACCAATTTTACAATCTTAAATGTCAGAGTGAAGAGTATCCACCCTCACACAAACTGATTTAAAAACAGTCCCTTCCTACAACTGCATCGTCACATGAAGATAACGTGACTATGACAAAACTACTAATTATTTAGTAAATTAATTTAAAATATTTTATGTCCAGGACTCTTAAGGTGATTTTAGTAGATACAAATAAACAAAGCCTAAAACTGAGTGCAAAATGTACACAAAAATATTGGAAAAAAATCCAAATGTATAGTCCTATACTGTAAGAAGCAACATTGAAGATAAAAAAACATTAATTAATTAAACATTAATTTTTAAAATCTCTCAGATTTGTATTCTGAGAATACACACGAACCAAAATATGTAACATTTCCAAGCTACGATAACATATTTGCAGGAAGGTCCTTTTTAAAATGAAATGTTATTAAATTAAATTAATGAAAACGTATTTTACATATTAATTTTAGGTGCAAACTATTCCTGCTGATTAACGGCTTTATTGACCCAAAACGAGTGTTTTCAGGTAACTTAAATGTACTTTTAAAAAGGACTGTTTCCCAGTTTGGACCTGCAGCTGAAACCAGGTCCATCATGGCCTCTACAACCCCCGCCCAACCCTCCTTATGATTGGTCGGTAGTGGGACCACAGATCCTTGCTATTGGCTGTGGGCTCTGCTTCCTGTCCTGCTATTGGTTCTGAAGGTCCAGTTTGACCTGTTTGACCTCCCCGTCATCAGAGGAGGTCGTGCCACCCTCCTCCTCTTTCTCCTTCTCCTCCTTTTTCTCCTCCTTCTCGCCCTGCTCTACAGGCGAGGACACTACGTCATAAAGGAAGGTGAAGAAGCCATACATCCAATCAGAGCCCTCGTCTGCTAAAATATCAAGAACCTCTTCAAGAGACTCGGCGTTCGGGCTACCGTCCCCATCTTTGGTCAAGCCTGACGAGAGAGAGAGAGAGAGGGAAGACATGCAGAGAGGAGGGAGGGAGGTGGTGTTGTAAAGGAAAAGGAGGCAAAGGAAGAGATGGAGGGAGGTGTAAAAAAAATGGAAAGTGACCGTAACGAAAACATAAAATAAAGGATGAAGCGGGAAAGAGAAAGATAGAGTTAAAGATGTTGAATATGAAGCATAGACAACAATAAATACGTTTTAACTTCCTGTCTCAGTCTCGTCAGGCTTCCTGTCTTAAACCAAAGAACGGCGGAGGACATCTTTCCTCGAATAAACTTTTAAAAAACCACATCTGCAATTAGGACTGGTTTTGTAAGAAGGACTGTCTGATACAAATAATAAATAAATGACACACTTTCTATACATAAGTGAATTAAATGTAAACAAAGTTAAAAGATGATTAAAAGTTAGTACAGGTCTTTTGAACACCTCCTTTAAATATCAGAAAGGTTCCAACTGTTAGTGTTCGTGTATTTTCAAACGTCATGATGCCGATTTTCTTTCTTACAGGCAACAAAAGAAAATCCCTGCTTTAGTAAACCACAATAGGAAGACTGGTTAGTGGTTACTGTTTAAAACTGAGGCACTCCAACTCAACTGTAAACCACATCAGTCAGGCATCAAACGGATACAACAGGCACAGATATAATAAATAAAAAAGGTAACTTGCCGAGAAGAACTTTAGCATCCTCCACGTCAAAGTCTCCGTCCCCGTCAGTGTCGTAGGCCGTCAGTTTGCCTGAGAGGAGAACCAAAAACTCACAATAAATATACCACTCGGGCTGGAAAATAAGATTATTTTTAAACTTTGAATGATTTGTTTTAATGCAATTTTGATGCAAGTGGAATCTTCTGTTGTAAGAGATTAACAATTGCTACGTCCACACAGAGGAAGCATTTTCTAGTTAAGAACTGTGGAATTGTACTGATATTATTCAAGTGTTTTGAACGTCTTTGGATATGTATGCAGCAATTTCAGAATATGCGACTTTATTGCAATTTGAGACACACATTTGAGCATTTTACAAAAAAAACAATACAGGATTTATGGCCAAAAGACAAAGGAGTAACATGCTACTTTCAAAAATTATAAAAGATATGCACAAATATCACAACACCAACATTTTCAAGAAGGTGGTTATGAGAAATGAAAATAGGAGGCTGTTTAAGCACAGTTTCATTCAGTCAAAATGTAATATATTCATTTTCACTATTCAGAAATGTATAGCAATCTTCTTGCATTCCTAAGAAGATGAGACATTAGAAAGTTATTAACATGTACAAGAAAATGAAAAAAGGTGATATTATAATGACCCCCTAACCAACACAGCATATACTGTATATTCAATGTATACTGTATAGTCATGCAAGGATCTTTAGTTAAAAAAAGCAAGTATTTATGGTCTACAACAATCAGTGTAGTTACTGGAGTTGAATTTTTCTTAATTTCATCCATTTGTACACTGCTAATACGAAGTACACATAGCACAGCATATTAAAAGCAGCACATAACAGTATGTCAAAAAGCACGAGCATGAAGTATTAATTTAGAACGTTAAAGTTGAAGGAAGAGGAAGGATGTGGTGGAGGAGGACGCTCTCTGTAACGTTAATACGTCTGTCATCTCTTTGTGACCCATAAAACTACTAAATCTCCACAAGGGGCTTACTTCAATATAAAATAATCCAAGTTAGTGAGATTTGTTTTTAGAAATATACAACCAGAACAACATCTGGAAACACATTTTTGAAATGGCTTGATATGAAATCTCATACTTTTGATTTAAGTATATATTATGCTTTTCTTCTAAAAGTCCTTTTTGCAGATGAGCAAACTTACTGCTGTGTGAGGTTATCTGTTCACTGCCTCTCTGCAGATTGTAGTTTCCCATGTTCTCATTTTGGTTTAGTAAGAAACCACAGTTTAGTTTCTCTTTCTCTTGCTCTGTCTGCAGTCATTTACATACGTGCTAAACACCAACACCATCATAGTATTTCCTCATCTGAAAAGGTGATGTTAGATGTGTCAGGGTGGGGTGGTATGAGGAACTTGAGCCCTTATCTGGTGTCATTTTCTATACTCTCTTTATATACGCCAGACTCCATTGAAAAAACGGTAACTTAACCCCTCACAACACAGAGGTTCTGGTCGGCTCCTGCCTGAATCTTTGGGTTCTTTTTTCTGTTATTGGGTGCCTTTACAGGTTAGCTTGAATTCACATTAGATTATTTGAATTAGCATTTTTTTCTTAACTCCAGCATTTTTACACAAGGTTTATTTTACATCTTCATTACTAAGTCAAAACTCACTTTAATTCAACTCTTTCCTTCCCATCTTAACCTCAGAAACTCATGATATTGTTAGGAGGATATGGTGAAACACACAGTGGAACGAGGAGCTGTACGACTGCACTTTAAATCTTGACCGTGTACCTTGCAAAACTTCTGAAAAGTTAAAGCGAAACTCCTTCGCTCTGGCTGCATGAAGAGAAAACACAGAGAGGAAGGAGGAAGAAGACAATAAGGGCTATGCTGTGAAAAGGGCTGAATTAGTACAAAGAAATACAGATTAAAAACAGACACAGGGCTGCATCATAACTTATTTCAAATGAATATGCCAACAATTAGATTAACACTGCAGATGTTTCACTTTTGTTATATATTTTACAGATCATGCAGCCCTGACAGACTTTAGTCACAGAGCAGAGAGAGGAAACACACAAGTCCAATTGAACATACAACACAGCTCAGTTAACACAGAGAGCTCCATAAAGCAGGAATGTAAACCTGACACAGAAAAAAGTTATATCTCATATCGTGAGTCAAACATGTCATCTGACACGTACAGCAGAGTGTGTGTGTGTGTGTGTGTGTGTGTGTGTGTGTGTGTGTGTGTGTGTGTGTGTGTGTGTGTGTGTGTGTGTGTGTGTGTGTGTGTGTGTGTGTCTGTCTGAGAGGAAGAGCTTGTGAAAGCGCTGTATGACTGTCATAACCACATAAAGACAGATGTTGGTTCCTGTATGAAAACCTTGAAACATACTGTCTGACGTCTGAGTGTGAGTGTGAGTGACAACACAACACTATCAGCAGCCACCATCCTCAAAATAAGAAACCGACTTCGTATTTTTAAAGATTCCATTTTTTTTCCTTCTATTTCAGACGTTAACATTTTGATTCATAACATCTAATTCAATTAAACTCTCAAGACTTTTAAAGCAGAAGAGAGAATCATGGAATTTCCCTAGTATTGGTATAGTCTGCTAATATCCCGACATCCCAGGACTGCATGTTTCTTGCACCTATAAAAGTCACAATTATCCTCTAACTTACCAATGACACTGTCGTAGTCCACAACATCGAAGTAGACGACGGCCACGGAGCTCCAGACTCCCAGCAGGGCGAGGACTACAAACCAGGTGAACATGGAGTACTTAGCCCCTTCTCCTCCTCCTCCTCCTCCTCCTCCTCCTCCTCCTCCTGCTGCTGCTGTTGCATCTCCTCCTGATCCTCTCTCCGTCCTCTTTCCATTCTTGCTATCCACTGGCACTGACTTTCCTTCTGGAGACATGAAAATCAAATCAAAGTTATATAGCCAAAGATTTTAAAATGACACATTGGTCTAAGGGGGGCTTTACAGATTTCACATTTGAAAAACAAACACCCATAATTCATTCGGAATATTTCATAAACCTCAGGAAGAAAGTTAGACAGGGGATCTCTTTGGAACAGATGCTTTTTGCATAGAATATATTTACAATCAATTTAACCGAAGACAGTATTTTACAGTGTCTGGTAAGAGGGAATCTCAAAGCTTAAATATGTAGTTTTATTCAGTTATGATGTAAGAAAAAACACTCTTATATATTGTATATAAAACATAATTGACTTATGTCCTTATAAAAAGGGTTTTTAAGTATGTATTCATTGTGCCACTTGATAAAAAGACAATATGGCAGGAGCAGAAAGGGGCATGCCGACACAGGAATAGAGTGAGAGACCTGCAGTCAACATGACCCTGACATAAAGAGAGAAAGAGAGAGAACAGCTGTTTGTACACCACTGACAACTAGAATAGCTTCATCTAATGAACATGAATGGCCTTAATGTTAAAGGCAGAAACAGAAATAGCTTGGTATATTGTTAGCATGGTGCCGAGTTGTTTCTAAAAGCTAAAAGGTTTTTGTTTCTGCAGTGATGCAAGTCCTGGGTACAACAAGTGTGCATGGGGTCGTTAAAATGTTTTATTTAAAGAGGTGTTAATGCAAGAGGTGGAATATCAACCAATAGAGCTTCAGGAGCTAACCAGGTAAAGGTCCAATTCATCCTTTTTAACACAACGTGGAAGCTCTTAGTCTTGGATAAACACTAATGGAATATCCAGTTCTTTGAAGAAGAAAAAAGAATAGACTGAATGTGGGATGCCAATAGCATGCGGAACTATAATTAAACTGCCTTTCAAATGCATTTGACTTCCGATCGACCCAATCTGCTTATACTGCAAACAAGACCTAAGTAAACATATATACATGTACATTCAGGAGCTCTAGGTCCCAATAATGAATTCTAATAATTGATGCAGAACATTGTCAATCTGTGGGAAATGATCTAGTTTTTGGAAAAATATCCATAAAAAGGTACTAGTTTGGAAATATAAACGCTCCAAGACTTAATACACCCATTCAAAGCTTCAAATGCTGTTAGTGAGCAGGCAAGGAAATAGAATATGAAATTAAATAAATATCAGATTTTCTGTTAATACTTTAAGATGGACCAATTTAAAATCAAGCCATACCAGGAGATATAATGAAAGGAAACTGCCAATGTCTAAACATGCCAAACCAAGACAAATAGAAACCATGAACCACTGGATCCAATTTACACCAAGAAACAACTCTAACCCAACACTGGGAGGCTGGTATTGTGAAAATAAGCTAGAGGATGTATTAAGTTTGCATTGAAAGTATACTCAGGGCATAAGCCAACCCAAAACAATCTATCCACAACAAACCAAACTACAAAGTTATCCATCTGTATATCACGAGATCTACCATGCCAAAACCAAACCAATTCATGCCTTGTTACCCAAACAATTAATTTCACTGTAAGGCTTTTATTGTGAAATGAAGCTACAGGATGTATTTTAATTTCCATTAAAAGCATGCCACAAAGTTCAAAAACCCAAACCAAACCAATGTAAACCAGGACAACCCAAACTATGGTTAACTTCTCAGTTTAAACACTTAACCATACCAAACTAAACCAATCCATGCCAAACCGAGCTCACAAACTCTTCATACCTGTCTCCTGAACAACAGGCTGCACCTCCACTTCCATCTGAGGGGCCTCTTCCTCTTTAACGCTCCCTAACCGGGCCAAACCAGGCAAGATAAGAACCAAACCAGACCAAACCAGGTCAAATCTAAAATCCTTCACCAGGCCTACCTGTCTCTTGGATCTCCTCCTCTTCCTCTGATAAACCTATCAGTGGCTCCTCTTCTTCAGTGTACACCTCGTCCTCCTCCACCTCCTCCTCCTCGTTTTCAGCATTGATCTCCTCTACAGGAGGTGAGGAGGAGCCGTAGTGGCGGTAGCGTTGCATGTCTTAAAAAAAGGTGCCAGAACCAGGCAAATGCAGGCTAAACCACCATCACAATGAATTACAAATATGTGTACCAGAATATAATACGATGGAAACCTTTATTCCAGTCTGAAAAATAGAAATTAAAGGGTGCCAAAACTATTCAGACTTTCTGAAAAGACAACCAAGCACTTGAGGAAGACTGTAGTAGTTTCAATAATAGTTGCACACTAAACCACCATTGCAAAGAATAACAAACTTTTAAAATAAAAAAAAGATTTTCCACACTGAGAAAATAAGAATTACACAAAATCCAAACTATTTAAACTTTACAAAAGATAACAAAGTAGTGTACAAAAAAGGGTTTTGTTGAAGGGATAAAAATAGAAGAAATACAAATATTCCAAATGATGAATCGTCCAAACCAGCATAAAGATAGTGTCAGTGAAGGAGAAGCACAGAAAGTGACAGAGAAATAAAGAGCTCCTCCTCTTCCATCCAGAACCTGATCCACACTATTATTAGAGTGTGTGTGAGTGTGTGTCTGTGTGCGAGATACCATTGAGGACAGAATAGCCCACCAATAACCTTGACACTTGTTTGCACACACACACACACACACACACACACACACACACACACACACACACACACACACACACACACACACACACACACACACACACACACACACACACACAGAGAATTAAAGGGACAGTATGTGCAATCTGCAGATCATGTTATACTTCACAAAGTGAATTCTTATCAATGCAAGTTTTTTTTGGAAGTTGTTCTACACCAGATCATATTTTATTTAAATACTTCAAGTACTTGACACGGCTTACTTTAACGCTGAAACTGAACACCTTGGACTGTACTGAGGGGAATTGCACAATTAATCAATGATGGTTGCAGCTTGACCTTAACTTACTAGATAATATATATACAATTTACAGAAATGTGCCAAATGCCTCTAATGCATCAGCCTTAAAACAAACAAGTGCATACACTAGTATTTAAATAGGAAATATCCAGTAGCTTTCAACCATTAGAAGTAAAAAAAAAATGTAAATAGAAAATGAATGAGTTTTCCCAATTTTTAAACTCTGAATATCAAAATGTAATTTAACTACAATGGTGTGCAAATATGGGGTGTGGGAGAATCACAAGAATAAATGTAGTAACAACAAAGATGTAAAGCAATAAGGATGAGAAGGTCCCTGAACTCACAACAGTCATATTTATAATAACAGAAATATTTGTGTACTATTATGTGATCATGATGAAGCTTTGCTCTGATTATTAAACAACCTTTAATGTTTATGTCAGGCCTATACATGTAATATAATGTGGATTTGTCTTACTCAGTCTTCAACCCCTAACTGCTGTCTGTTAAAAAGTTAATAGCTTTTTAGCTTTTGTTAGCCAAGCAAACCATCATCTATGGTAGCTAGGTTAGCTTAGCGTCATTTAGAGGGCTCACTTCCATGTTACCGCTGGACAAGCAAGTTATCAGTCACACAGAGCATTATTTTATCTATACTTAACCATTTTGTTTAGTTGGACAGCCAAATTCAACACAGTATTCGGGATATATTGACTGCTAGCAAAGAAATTGCTTAATTAGCCCCGAATTCTTGCTTAGCGAGAACGTTAAACCAGACTCTATTGAAAATTCGTGCAGTTAAATATTATCTTGTTTAGAGCCAAAGCAAACCATTTTAATAACACACATTCAAACATTTGCATAAATAAATACAACCCACTAATCAATTCGGCATAGGTGAAAAACACAAATTGTCTTTAATTGACTGAAATATTATGTTTTACATCCGGTTAAAACTGTTTCTACACACCCAGCAGGACGCGCATTGTCCTCAAGAGGATAGTGGGAACCACGGAGGATCCAGCAGAGAAAGCGGTCAATTTTGTTGCATATCGTGTCGGTATGTAAGCCGAATTGAAGAAAATATACAAATCACTTATTTAAAACATTTGCCTTCGTTCTGCGTTAAACGCATATTTGCCAATAGGTGTAAGACTTTAAATTGCAGGAAAATGCTACCGAAATATGGGAGAAATATGGGAGAGGTGCGTCCATGGGTCGGAGATTCCAGCAAGAAAAGGGTACTGACCTTTTTTGGAGTGGGTTTTGGGAGTCCTTTTCTGGGCCATTGCTTCGTAAATTCTGCAATGTAACTTTTCAGGCTTGCAGCTACGAACTAAAAAGCTAATATATCTGTAATTGAGACAAACACATGAGAAGTAAGCTCTACTGCTCGCTTAATTTTCTGCGTTCTCATTGATGAAGCTACGAGTTGTCCAAGAAATTCACGTCCTCACTTGGATACCAGTAAAGCCAAAGTCCATAGTAACCGTGATGGACCTTACATTCAACCAATCACAGCCAGAGTGGGTGGGTTTTCAGGATTCTGGACCAATCAGGTTTCGGTGCAGGTTCCCAGCGTTGTCCCCTCTCTTTGGAAATGATGAAAAACGTGGCAGCAGAGGAAGAGGAGTCTTAACATCTGGGCGGAGAAATAATGATGAATATTTTAATACACTTTTTTGGTACACATAATGCATTAAATGATATGTTTTAGTTTACATTTCAATGGCATAATAAATTAAAAAAGAAGAAATAGAACCACATTATAAGAAAAAACATCACATTGAAGTATACAAAAACATATTCTTAACAAGACTTTGAATTATTTTACAAGCATTATAAAGACAAATCATTATCATAAAATCTAATTAGAGTTAAATAAAGTGAGCAGCTCCTCCTACAGTATTTACCGTCCTACTTCACTAGAATGTTTATTAGGGACGCAAACTCTATGTAAACCGTACAGAGCAGTGTTATTCTGCAGAGGGCGCTGTGGTATAACTTTTAGACAGTCCCTCGTCCATCAGGCTGAAATGATTGTGTATCATCACTTTATTATTCTGAATTGTTTGTAGTTTTTGTAATGTTCTACTGCATTTCTCACATATCTTTTTACAGAGAAGACATAGAATACATTTGAAGCATCTAGAAAGCCAAACCAATTAGATTATTTGGAGAAAACAAAATGTATTCTGCATCTTTAAAGGAAATGTGTGAGCTTCAGGGTTATCAAGGGTCTGAATTGTTGGACTGTATAAATGACTATACTGTCTAAACAACTCTATAAAGGACTTTATATTTGTGCAATCTTTGATTTCACTTTGAGATTTCCATATTTGACGTATTTTATTCATCAAAAAGTGTCTTAGCAGCATCAGAGCATCATGATTCCTGGGACACTAAAAAAGAAAACTGGGATACATGTCAAAATCCCTACATATTACTGACTAATTAAAGTAATAAAATAACACAATATCTTCTCGATCTGAAGAACTGCAGTTAACATATTTGTTGCTGAGCCTAATTTAGATGTCTGAAAGAAGCTATAGAGACTGATAGGTGTTACGGTGTTACAGTGCTCTCTCTCACACACACACACACACACACACACACACACACACACACACACACACACACACACACACACACACACACACACACACACACACACACACACACAGTTTGCTAATGAAGACCATGGGTCACATACCAGCCACCCATGAACCAGGCATTAACCACTCAACAAAGACACAACACACGCACACATGCACGCACACACTCACACACATGTATATTGTGTCTGCTGAGAGAAGCCTTATTAAATCTCATTAGAGGTGTGAATAGTTTCTAAAATTAAGAAAAAACTGTCCGGTATGTATGTCATTTTCTATTAAGTGTTAAAAGAAAATGTATGAGACTTTGACAAGCTTACAAACCAGACAAGTGTTAGTTTATCGTTATATATAAATCTATACTTTGATAATAGTGTACATAAAGGTAATCAGCTGTTTAAGTAACAATGTGTCTGCGTGTTGATGAAATAATAATATCAAAAGCATGTTTAAAATGTTCACCCAGTATATCTCCTGATATAAGTCTCTGCTATAAAGGCGAATAAGAGGAAGCAAATACCTCAGTCCTGATGCAGGAGGCAGTATAACTCCACACAAATACCAACCCACTTAGTTTGTGATGAGAAAACCCCAGTCCATCTTTCATTTGATTTATTTTATACTCCTCCCATCTTGTCTCAAGGAAGAGAGAATAGGTGTCCCCATTTATGGTTTTTATCTTTTCTCTTTTCTCTGGTGTTTTTAAGAGGAAACAGTTGTTCATTTTCAGGTTCACATTATTATTTTGTACCTCTACACAGACATGTTTCCATGCTTTAATGTTCCAAAAGAGATGTCCCGCTCATTAGCAAATCACCCACGGTGCCCATCCAGTGGAGAAATGGTGTTGCAGTGGCCTCTATGGGTCCTCTTCATCTGGAGAAAATGTGATAAGGCACCCCCGAAGACGACCGCTAGGGTCCTGATCCAGCAGAGAAAACATGATAAGGTGCTCTCTAAGTTACATTCCAGTGGAGAACACATGATAGAGTACCCTTTAGAGGGCCCCTGCAGTTGAGAAAACATGATAGAGTGCCCTTTAGAGGGCCCCTGCAGTTGAGAAAACATGATATCCTGCCATCTAGCTAGCCCCTCAGATGGGGAACACATGATGCAGTTGCCCCTCCAGTGGAGAAAACATGACAGATTGCCCTCCAGGGTTCCTTTCCAGTGGAGAAAATGTGATAACGTGCCCTCTAGGGTGCCCTTGGTGGCACACTGCCAGTGTAGAAGACATGAATAAATATAATCTATGATGATCCATGATATCTTAACGTCTATGGTCCCTTTCAAGAGGTGAATATATGAAAAGTGGCTTTCCAGTGGAGAAAACGTCCTGACTGCTAGAAACTGGCCCCACTGCCTGCACCATGGAGCCATTTATTTGCCCACTTCTTACCTTTGTTTCTCTCCTTCTCCTCTACTTGCCTTTTCGACTGTGTTGCTGATGATTAAGAAAATGATGATAATAGTTAATGAGGATGAATGCAAAAGATAATCAATATTTTGGTTAGCTTGCATCAGAACGAGTATTGCATCCATATACGTGTGTGTGTGTGTGTGTGTGTGTGTGTGTGTGTGTGTGTGTGTGTGTGTGTGTGTGTGTGTGTGTGTGTGTGTTAGTGTGTGTTATCACTGAGCGTCAGCCGGCTCTCTGCTTTGTTTTTAGGTCACTTTTACACCGACTCCTTAAATCAGTCTGAAAGCAGCTCGCTTTCTAAAATAGAAACAATTAGTGTGGGCTTGACATTCAACTCTTTCTCTTTCAGTCCTCCTTCCTGTCTTTCTGTCCTTTCAGGTTTTTGGTCGTTTTCTGGGAGAAGTAGGACTC